GGGTGGCACTAAATTTAAATAGATAAATAAAATTATGCAAACATTATGCAAATTATGAAACTGCAATAATATAATCATAACAAATAAATGTACAGGTAGTCCTTGACTTATGACCACAATTGAGTCCTAAATTTATATTGCTAAGTGACACAGTTGTGAAGTGAATTTTGCCCCATTTTACGACCTTTTTTGCCACAGTTGTTAAGTGAATCACTGCAGTTTTTAAGTTAGTAACATGGTTGTTAAGTGAATCTGGTTTCCCCATTGACTTTGTCAAAAGGTCACAAAAAGGTGATCCCTTGACCCCGGAACACTGCAACCATCATAAATATGAATCAGTTGCCAAGCATCTAAATTTTGAACACATGACCATGGAAATGCTACATTGGTTGTAAGAGTGAAAAATGGTGAAAAGTCACTTTTTTCAGTGCTGTTGTAGCTTCAAACAGTCACTAAATGAACTGGTGTAAGTTTATTTATTTATTTATTTATTTATTGAATTTATATCCCGCCCTTCTCCTTGCGGACTCAGGGTGGCTGACAATCAATTTAAAAATACACCAAAAACAATTACAAAATTTAAAAAGACTACCTGTGTTTAATCATGCACCAGTTCAGATGAAAAGAAGATGAGTGAATAAGAGGCCAGATGGTAAACTCACATTTCCATACAATTGCCCTTTGTTCCCTTGCCTGGCTTCAGAGCCAAATATGTGCTTTCTTTTTAAATAAATGTAGCAGATACGCAATTAAATACTGCTATAATTTCATTTAGGTGATCCCAAATTTGCAGGTGGTATAACAATAATAACATAAAATTGAAAATAAAGTTAAAAGTTTTGAGTTCCAAGTTCCTGCTGAACAGAAAATACCCTGCGATAGCATCTCCAATAGGTTATTCATCGAACCTGAATAAAAAATATGTGTATTAGAGCATTTCCAAGACAATCTAATTGATATTTATCGGGCCAGACATTTCTGTACTCACCTCTTTTGAACTACTTTTTAAATCACATATTATCCTTTTTCTAGTCAGCTTCCTTTTGTGGTGTATCCCATACATTTCCTATTCTGAATATAGCTTAATAGAGTTGACCTCTTCTGAATCTAAGGAATATGCCTAGCAGCTGGCAGCCTAATGCATTGTGATGACATCTTTTATGATCTCAAGCTCAGCACAACCACATGAAGGACACATTTATGAAACATCCTCATGACTGCATCTTTTTTGTATTCCCACAGAAGCAAACTAATTATTCTGTAAAAGTAGTCCTGCCTTATGACCGTAATTGAGCGGTCATAATCCATGCTAGGCATTAAGCGGGACCTCAACCTATTTTACAACCTTTCTTGCAGCAGTCATTAATTGAACATTGTGGTCAGTAAGCAATTGCATTGTTTGCAATGGGGTTGCTGTGGCAGAAGTAAGAAGTAAATGCCAGTTTCCAGCATGATAAATCACGATTATATGACTCTGTATGCTGCAAATGGCCATAAATACGGGCTGATTATTGAATATCAAAAATGTGACCATCTGACCGCAGGTGGGGCCCAACTTCAAATCCAGGCCATAAGTAATTCTGGGGATTTCCATTGTAACTTGGAACATTTCCTAATCAACCAGTCATAGATCAAAGACTTCCTATATTAGCTTTCTTGTTCTGTATCTTAATCTGTGTCTGTGTGATATAATGGTCAACAGAGATAAGCCAACTTGAACTTAAAACAATTTAAAATGGTAAAAAAAAAGCCATGCATATACTTTATACAGTTGTAAGAATTTAATTCTTTAAAGCTACATTCAGTCATGAAAGGATTGAGCCATTTTTTATAGAACATCAGATTGAATTGCTGCTTAGAGTCTGCAAAAGAATTGGAGGTTTGGAAGAAAAAAAAACCATTAAAATTTATCATAAGCATAGATGCTGCAACCTCCCACGTAGATGGCTTCTGTTCATATATGCTGCCTACTGCTCTCCTGCTCCATTGATACATACCAGAAAAGATATTCAGAAATTCTTCTGAGATTGGCAACTGAATTTTATTTTAATGTTATTGATAGGCTCATGTCCTTCTGTACCAGAAAGCAATAAAGAAGGATGCAAGATCATCCACATTATGGCCCATGTAATAGAGAAAAATGTAGAGAAAATTTCAACAGAATAAAAGCAATTTAAATTTTGAATTGAAGAGGAAAAGAATAGGGAAAAGTAATAAAAAAGTAAAGAAAGAAGTAAAGAAAGAAAAAAGTAACAAAAATAGTTTCCAATCTTCCTAATAGCAATTATACATACATTTATATTTTACCTTCTCTCTGTAAGGTTATATCATAATTTCTTTCTATAATTTACCCTTTTTAATAAATCCATAAACCACCAGTTCATTATTTTATGTTTCAGCAAAAGAGGTTTCAAGTCACTAACAGTAATGCTTTATGTTCCTAAGGAGAGGAGCAACAAGAAACAGAAGAGATTTCAACAAGGTAGGGAGATCAGAACAGTTATGTAGTACAGTTCGTATAAACTAAGGAGGCCATGTGGATACAGTGACCGAATTTTCTTGGGGAAAAAAATAGACCTGAAAAAAGGCAAATCTGAATGAGACTGGTAAGGATAAAAAATTAGTTCTTTATAACTTTGCTTTACAAGAAAATTTAAGAGCAAACTTAAGAAATAAATCTAAAGTACAGCTTTCTTAAATAAAGGGCTGCTCTTTATAATATATAACATATGGTCAGTGTAGATACAGGCAACAGAATTTGGGATATTGTTTGTGATGGATCAATGATACTTTCTGTCCACACTTGTTTTGCTAAAAGAATTGAAGATCCAGATACAGGTAATCCTTGACTTACGACCACAATTGAGCCCAAACTTTCTGTTGCTAAGCAAGACATTTGTTAAGTGAATTTTGCCCCATTTTATGACCTTTCTTGCCATAGTTGTTAAATGAATCACTGCAGTTGTTAAATTAGTAACACAGTTGTTAAGTGAATCTGGCTTCCCCATGTCAGAAAATTGCAATAGACAATCACATTACCCCGGGATGCTATAACCAGGGCTTTTTTTGTCATAGAACGCCCAGAACGGAGTTCCGGCACCTTTTTTAGATGGAACTTTGTAGGGTAGGCAAGGCGGGTTGTATGACATGTGTGAGTTCCGCCACCTTTTTTTTTTTTTTTTTTTTACAAAAAAAGCACTGGCTATAACTGCCATGAATCAATTGCCAAGCATCTGAATTTTGATCATTTGATTATAGGGATGCTGCAACAGTCCTAAGTGTGAAAAATGGTCATAAGTCACTTTCTTTAGTGCTGTTGTAACCTTGAACAGTCACTAAACAAACTGTTATAAGTCGAGGACTACTTGTACCTTGAACAACCCCACCCAAAAAAAAAGTGGGGAAAAATGGGAAAAAGCTGAGAAGCCAAAAGCTGTCACTGACTGACCCAATCATTCCCGTTCCAGGAAAAAAGTGCAAGCTGGCAGAAGATGCTGATTTGGTGTGTCTCCCACTTTGAACAGATCCCATTACAACAAATCTGACATCAAATAAATATTCATATTGCATGACTTCGGGTGCTTCGTTTTCAGTACTTATTTTAGGATCCATGCCTTGAGGCGTCGCCCATCGCCATGAAAAATATGCATTTTTCCCCCCAATCTGGTCGACTGCTAATAAGCGACCCCTTCCAGGCAGACTTGGCGGGTCAGGGCAACAGGCGACTCCATATTCGAACGCTAGGCTTCTCGGTTACCTGGGCGACCGAAGCCGCGCGCGGGCGCGTTCCCGCGCCTGCGCAGGAGGACGGCCTCGTGGCGATTGCCAAGGCAACGGCTCTTGTCCCACTCTTTTCAATGGCTCCCAAGCGACCCAAGAGCGGGGCGGGCGGCGGGGGTTCTGGCCCCCCAGGGACAGGCCCCAAGAACTGGGAAGCGGGGCTTGTGGCGGTCCGCTTGGAAGAGGTGCGTTGTCAATGGAGGGAGGCACATGTTGGCCCTTGTCTCAGAAAAAAAGGTGGACTTGTTTGACAGAAAAACGAGGGGATGTGGTCGACACTGGGGTCTCAGTGTTTGCACGGGGGAGGGGTATGCATCGCAGATGGGAACAGAATTACTTTGAGGTTTGAGGAACTCAGTCTTTTTCTGCTTAGCAGCATGGTTCCTAGCGTGGCTTGTGGGTTTGCCCTAAAGAAATCATGAATATTATTGCAACTCAAGACAACCCTCCGTACCAGGAGATGAAGCTACATTGAACCTGGTGTATCTTAAGAGAAAATCTCCTTCAATCAAATCAAAGTCGTGGTGGATACATTTATGCACGTTTCTTGGTGTCAATAGAAAGTAGTTTGCCGTTGTCTTGTCTGGGGATGTTTTTTTCCCCCACTTCATCTCCTAGGCTGAGATTTTCTACTAACCAGACCCAGCCTTGCTGATCTTCCAAACCTAAAGGATTAATCAGAATTTCCATGTAGTTCCCTTTTCATAATATGTGGGTTGTACTTCAGCCTATGTTGTAGGTTGACAGTTCTCAAAATGAAAGAAAATTAGTTCATTATATTAGAATACATTAATAGCTTATGTGTTTCAAAAGCAGAGAGGGAGGTTATAGACATGAACATTATAAGTAGCTATATTGGGTCATTGTTGAGTAGAATAGAATATAATAATATAGTTGGAAGGGACATTGGAGGTCATCTAGTCCAACCCCTGCTCAAGCAGGGGAACCTATGCTATTTCTAACAAGTGGCTGTTCAGTCTCTTGAAAGTCTTCAGTGATGAAGAACCTACAACTTCTAAAGGCAAGCAGTTCAACCAGCTAATTGCTCTCACTGTTAGAAAGTTTCTCCATAATTCTCTCTTTGATTCGTTTCTATCCATTGTTCCTTGTCTGGCCTTCTGGTGTTTTTTTCAGTTGGTGCTGAAGAAGCTTCTTGGATGAGAAGTGAAATGTCTTCAAAGAAAAACAAGAAAGTTCAGTTGAAAAACTGGACCCAAAGCACCTTTGGGTTTTGGAAAATAGGTTGGCCCCTCTTCTCTGTGACAGCCCCTCAAATATTGAAACACTGCTATCATGTCACACCTGGTTCCTCTCTTCACTAGACTAGCCATGTCCAGTTCTTGTAACTGTTCTTCATATGTTTTAACTTCCAGGTCCCTAATAATATTTGTTGCTCTTCTTTGCATTCTTTTCTAGAGCAGTGGTTCTCAACCTTTTTAATGCCGCGACCCCAACCGGTCGTAAGTCGAGGACTAAACCAGTCGTAAGTCAAGGGCTACCCAACCAATCGTAAGTCGAGGACTTTCCCTGCCCGGGAGCACCGCGCATGCGTGGTTCCGCCCCTTGCGCTGGCCGAGGCATAGCTGGCAAGCGGCAGAGACGGAGCAGGCCGACCACCAGCTGGCCCAGCCCAAGGGAGGTAAGGCACCCGCCGGAAAAGGGGGAAAAAAATGGCGGACAAAAAAAAATGGCGGACAGCCTTGCTTGGCGACCCCCGTGAAATGGTCGGATCGACCCCAAATGGGGTCCCGACCCACAGGTTGAGAACCACTGTTCTAGAGTCTTAACATCTTTTGTATAGTGTAGTGACCAAAACTGGATGCAGTATTCTAGGTGTGGCCTTACTAAGGCTTTATAGAGCGGTACTATTACCTCACATGATCTTGATTCAATCCCTCTGTTAATGCAATTTAGGATTGGCATTGGCTGCTGCTGCACACCACTGGCTCATATTTAATTGATTGTCCACTAGGATTCCAAGATCCCTCTTACAGTTACTCTATTAAGCAAGGTTTCACCTAATCTGTACATGTACTTTTGGTTTTTCTTGCCTAAGTGTAAGACTTTATTTTTCTCTACGTTGAATTTCATTTTGCTGGATAGGGCCCAATGTTCAAATCTGTCGAGATCCATCTGGATCCTAAGCCTATCAAGGTGTTGGCTATTCCTACCAGCTTAGTGTCATCTGCAGATTTGATGAGTTCCCCTTTTACTCCCTCATCTAAGTTATTTATAAAGATATTGAAGAGTACTGGGCCTAAGATGGAACCTTGTGGTACCCCCTGCTTACTTCCCTCCATCTAGGTCAGTGGTTCTCAACCTTTTTAATGCCGCGACCCCAACTGGTCGTAAGTCGAGGACTAAACCGGTCGTAAGTCGAGGACTAAACCGGTCGTAAGTCGAGGACTAAACCGGTCGTAAGTCGAGGACTTTCCCTGCCCGGGAGCACCGCACATGTGTGGTTCCGCCCCCTGCACCAGCCGAGGCGTAGCTGGCAAGCGGCAGAGACGGAGCAGGCCGACCACCAGCTGGCCCAGCCCAAGGGAGGTAAGGCACCCGCTGGAAAAGGGGAAAAAAATGGCGGACAAAAAAAATGGCAGACAAAAAAAATGGCGGACAGCCTTGCTTGGCGACCCCCGTGAAATGGTCGATCGACCCCAAATGGGGTCCCGACCCACAGGTTGAGAACCACTGATCTAGGTGTAGTACCATTAAGGATTACTTGTTGAGTACAGTTTGTCAGCCAATTACAAATCCATCTAGTGGTGATGCTATCCCACTTTTTTCTAGCCTACCAAGAAGTAGGTTGTGGTCTACTTTGTTGAATTCCTTATTGAAGTCTATTATATCTACAGAATTTCGCTGGTCTACTAATTGGTTTGGCATGATCTGATAACAAACCCATGCTGGCTTCTAGTTACAACTTTATTTCGGTTTTTTAATTATCTTTTCCAGTATCTTCCCAGGCATTGATGTTAGGCTGATTGGTCTGTAGTTTCCTGAGTCTGATTTTTTCCCTTTTTTTGAAGATGGGAGCCACATCAGCTCTTTTCCAATCCTCAGGTAGTTCCCCAGTGCTCCAGGGTTTTTGAAAGATACGGTACAATGGTTCTGAGATGACATCTGCCAGATCCTTCAGAACTCTGGGATATAATCCATCAGGTCCTAGTGATTTATATTCCTCAAGATCAGATAGCTGTTCTCTTACCATTTTCTTGCTTATTTTAATTTTAATTTTAATTTCTACTCTGTCTTTTACAGTTATGTTTTTGGTAGGTTGGGCTATAGTTTCTTTTCGTGGGAAGCCTGATACAAAGAATGAGTTCAGCAACTCTGCATTCTCTCTACTGCCTGTTACTTCCTTGCCATCTTCTCTCTGTAGCGGACCAATTGTTTCCTTGATTCTTTTCTTGTTATTTATATGTTGAAATTTTTTTTTTATTATATTTGACTTTTGTTGCAAGTCTTTGTTAATTTTGAGTCTTTGCTTTCTTGACGATAACTATATACTATAACAGTTACTATCAGGGCTTTTTTTCTCATAGAATGCCCAGAACGGAGTTCTGGCACCTTTTTTGGATGGAACCTTGTAGGGTAGGCAAGGTGGGTTGTATGATGTGTGTGAGTTCCAGCACATTTTTTTTTTTTTTTTTTTTTTTTTTTAGAAAAAAAGCACTGGTTACTATTGTAGCCAATAACTCTAAGATATTGATCTTCTTGTGCTTATACATTTAAGAACAAATGTATCAAACTTATGAGGCCAGAATGTATTGTCTGTCCTCTCTCCATCCCAGTAAAGTCCCACAGATAAAACTTTTAGATGATATAGAGCAGTAGCCATTCTTTGAGTATGTAATATGTAATCCAAACTGGTTCAGTCTTATCATTAGATAAATATAGGTCACTCAGTCCTATCTGATGAGTTGTTAATGAGTTGTACATCTAATCAGGTAATCTTATTATTTTGTTTATGGAAAATAAGAAATAAATCAACAATAACGTAGTAAGTGTGTATGGTATTTTATATAATTAACATTACAGCTGTTAATACATAGCATTTCAGATTCAAAGTTCACTGTGTCTGATATAACAAAAGTGAAGATACTTATAAACAAAGAAGATAACTCAGATTGAACAAAAGAAACAATGCATTAGTCAGTATTCAATATCATTTCATAGCTGGTATCCCTTTTGTTCTTTAGTCTCTTATGATCTCAATTATATACGTTACTAATGATTATCATTTTTACAGGCACATTTATCTGAAATTTGTTTATTTATTTGTGCAAATATATCTGTATCTTACCAAATAACAAATAGAATAAAATTTGGGTAGGATAAGTACTGTAGTAGAAAAATCTAGTAGATTTAGTACATAGTATAATACTGCCACCTAGTGGTAGAGGGCAATTGCATATAAAGAAATTTGATTTCTGAGCATGGAAAAATAAAAGAGAAGGGATGCCTTTATACTGCACTTTTCTTTCTTTCTTTCTTTCTTTCTTTCTTTCTTTCTTTCTTTCTTTCTTTCTTTCTTTCTTTCTTTCTTTCTTTCTTTCTTTCTTTCTTTTCTTTTTCAATTTATGTAGCTGCCCCCTTAGATATGTACTGTAACTGTGAATGGCTTACAGAATTAAAATCACAAAAAAGCAATTCAAAATAAACAAAATGCCATTTAAACATTAAAATAATTGAAACCATTAAAACATAATCTGATGGAAGGATAATCAATATCATTAACAGTACAGTCATTTTGCAGTGTTCTCACCACCACTACCAGATCCCCAGGTCAGATGATAAAGTCATATTCTTTAGGGCTTTCTGGAACGCTAGTCAGGTCAGGAGCAGTCTGAATCTGAAGGAATGATGTTCCAGAGGGCAGGTGCCATGACAGAAAAGGGCTTTTCTTCTAGCCCCATTGGCATGACATTCATGTGTGGACAAGACCTGGAACATGCACTTTCTGATGGACTTGATGGAGCAGGTAGATGGGATGGGGAAGAGGCCCCCCTCAAATAATCGAACCACATGTCATGTAGAGCTTTATAACTCATTATCAGCACTGAATGGTTTAATGATTGTTTTTGTTTTGAATCAGGAAAATTGGATTCCTAGTACTGCCTTTGTTGTTGAGAGCAAACCTGAGGATGAACTTCACATAAAAGCACTATCTCTGGCTGTACAGATGCCACAAAGGAAACTCTTCAGTGTGGTTTCTTGGGAGGAAATATTAGCACAGGTATATTGTATTTACAATTGTGGAGCAATTATGATAGAGCTGAGCCTAAAACGAGGGTGCAATTTTTCCTCGGGGTGATATCTGAGAAACACTATTTGTTGCCAGATATTATTGATCTGAATATAGGAAAAAGAATTGGTCCTAGAAGAGGCTCTTCCATGCTTGCAGTTGACAACAGGAGGAAAAAATAATCAGATTTAGAGACAAGTGCTTGTCTCATAATTTTGTACAGTTTTATTGTATTGCATGCATATACTGATATTATAATAACATATAAATACAGGGCACTATCATACCAGATATCTCCACACATATATATATATATATCCTTCTGTCTTCACAAAGTTTACATGTGTTACAGCATGATATAGGACAAGCCTGAACTCAGTCTCTTAAAAGCATATAATCCTTTTGCTGTTTGGTTTCTTATAAATGTCTCTTGAAAGATCTGTTTATTTTTATCAGCACAATCAAAAAGTTACCATTTTTCAAGATTATTGAAAGTCTTTATACTATAGTTTCCATTATTATCACTTTTTTCTTATATTAATAGGAGCTAAAGGCAATGAGGTATTACTTTCAGAGCGTTCAGAGTAATTTTAAACATCAAGCACACCATATTTTTCTTTTGGTATATGTGAATGGATCTTTAGAGAATAATGTTGCAAACTTCAGTATTATTCATAAAAGATTATGACTAGAAATCAGTAAACAAATGTCCCCGCTCTTCAATAGACTGGTCTTTCTCAAACAGTCCCCACTACATATGGTAAAACACTTTTAAAAGTGGAATTTTCTTTTGGAATAAATCTATTTTAAAGTTAAAAGAGCTCTTCCAAGCAATAAGTTTGAAAAACTACCTGTTGAGTGATCCCTCATTCCAGAGAGAATGGAAAAATTAATTAAAAATGTAAGGATTTAAAGATAATATATAAATGGCAAAAACTATATAAGAATTTAATCCATGAAAGTTTGAAATGAACCAAGGGACACATAGTTTAAAAATATTTGACTTAATATTTGAAATACTGTCTTTTGCTATAAGCCTTTTGAAATAATTAAAAACAAAACAGTATCTTTGTGGGAACAGAAATTGGTTATTAAAGGGACTTCTGGTTTTGCACAGTAGTGCAGCAGCCGAGGGATTGCAGGGCTCCGCTCTCCGGCTGATTTCTGCCTGCCAGGGGACCCTAAATGGGCCTGAAGTTGCTCCGTAGAGGCAACACCTCCATGGATTACTGCCTTGCCATGGCGAAGGGGCTTGCATAACTCAATGAAGCTATGAGCTATGCCGTGCAGGGTCACCCAAGTAGGACAGGTCATAGCAGAGAGTTCTGAAAAAATGTGATCCACTGGAGAAGGAAATGGCAACCCACTCCAGTATCTTTGCCATGAAAACCCCAGCTGGAAGATGAGCCCCTCAGGTCAGAAGGTGTCCAATATGCTACTGGGGAAGAGCAGAGGGCTAGTTCTAGTAGCACCAGAAAGAGTGAAGCGACTGGGCCAAAGCTGAAAGGACACTCAGCTGTGGATGCATCTGGTGGTGAAAGGAAAGTCCGATGCTGTAAAGATCTTTTCTCCATAGGAACCTGGAATGTAAGATCCAGAATCAAGGCAAGCTGGACATGGTCAAACAAGAGATGACAAGACTGAACATCGACATCTTAGGAATCAGCGAACTAACATGGACAGGAATGGGTGAATTTAATTCAGAGGACCATCGGGTATACTACTGCGGGCAAGAATCCCTCAGAAGTCAATAAAAGAGTAGGAAAAGCAATACTGGGATACAATCCCCAAAATGACAGAATGATCTCAGTGCGAATCCAAGGCAAACCATTCAATATCAAGTAATCAATTTATGAAATTGACCAGTTCTATGAAGCCCTACAGCACCTTATAGAATCAATACAAAAAATGATGTCCTTATCATCATGGGGATTGGAATGCTAAAGTAGGAAGCCAAAAGATAACTGGAATAATAGGCAAGTTTGGCCTTGGAGTACAAAATGAAGCAGGGCACAGGGTGATAAAATTTTGTCAAGAGAATACGATGGTCATAGCAAACATTCTTTTCCAACAACCCAAGAGACGGCTCTACACATGGACATCACCAGACGGTCAATACAAAAATCAGATTGACCATGTGCTCTGCAGCCAAAGATGGAGAAGTTCTATACAGTCAGTAAAAACAAGACCAGGAGCTGACTGTGGCTCAGATCATGAGCTTCTTGTTGCAAAATTTAGGCTTAAATGGAAGAAAATAGGGAAAAACACTAAGCCACTAAATCATATCCCTGATGAATATACAGTAGAGGTAACAAATAGATTTAAAGAATTAGATCTGATAGACAGAGTGCCTGAAGAACTATGGACGGAGATTCACAACATTGTACAAGAGGTAGCAACTAAAGCCATCCCAAAGAAAAAGAAATGCAAGAAAAAAAAATGGCTGTCTGAGGAAGCTTTGCAAATAGCTGAGGAAAGAAGGGAAGCGAAAGGCAAGGGAGAAAGAGAAAGATGCACCCAATTAAATGCAGAATTCCAGAGAATTAGCTAGAAGAGATAAGAATGCCTTCTTAAATGAACAGTGCAAAGAAACAGAAGAAAACAATAGAATAGAGATCTCTTCAAGAAAATTTGAGATATGAAGGGAATGTTTCATGCAAAAATGGACATGATAAAGGACCAAAATGGCAGGGACGTAACAGAGGCAGAAGAGATTAAGAAGAGGTGGCAAAATTACACAGAAGAACATACAAGAACGAGCTTAACATCCCAGATAACCACGATGGGGTAGTCACTGACCTCGAGCCAGATATCCTAGAATGTGAAGTGAAATGGGCCTTAGGAAATCTGAGCAACAACAAAGCTAGTCGAGGTGACAGTATTCCAACTGAGCTATTCAAAATCTTAAAAGACGATGCAGTAAAAGTGCTACACTCAATTTGCCAGCAAATTTGGAAAACTCAACAGTGGCCACAGGATTGGAAAAGGTCAGTTTACATTCCAATTCCAAAGAAAGGCAATGCCAAAGAATGTTCAAACTATCGCACCATTGCACTCATTTCACATGCAAGTAAAGTTATCCTTAAAATCCTATAAGCTAGACTCCAGCAGTATGTGGATTGAGAATTTCCAGAAGTACACACAGGATTTCAAAGAGGCAGAGGAACTATAGATCAAATTGCCAACATACGCTGGATCATGGAGAAAGCTAGGGAGTTCCAGAAAAACATCTACTTCTGCTTCATTGATTATGCTAAAGCCTTTTTTTTTTATATAAAATTTTTTATTATTTTGAATTAAACAACAAATACAAATGATGCGTCTACAAACACCACAAAAGAAAAAAGATTTTTACTCAAAATATTTCCGAATACTCCCGGCAGTCCCCGCCTTGCCTCCACCCTTATCCACTTTCCCTCTCTTTCCTCCCCCTCATCCCACGACCTCTCTTTCCTCCTACCACTCTACATCCCTTTCGCCTTCTAACCACCACATCGAGTGCAATTTGGGGAACCTGCCGGGAATATCCTCTTATTATTACAATTCCATTATATACTTATAATTATTTACTACATCAGTTTATAATTTCCCCTTAAACCCCTCCCCTCCCCGACTTCCCAGAACTAAAACAGGATTCAACACCTC